GCAAGCCACTCGTCGTGGATATTATGCTTGAAGGCCGCGAGGGCCTCCGCATCCGGACAGTCGACGATTTGGTTTTTCTTGGTTAAGAACCGTGTCCAGAATTGTCTGGCCGATTCGTCTGGCTGCTGAATTATGTGGCTGAGGTCATCAGCGTCTGGTGGTCGCACATACGTGCCTTGGAAGTTATCGAGGAATGCGGCTTCCCGGTCTTCCCAACTCCTAATTGACTCTGCTGGCAAGCTGTTAAGCCAATGCCGGGCTGGTCCTTTAAGCTTGAGGGGGAGATATTTGATGGCGTGAAGATCGTCACCGCGGGCCATGTGGATGTGAAGGAGATAGTCTCCGATCCAAACCGCGGGGTCTGTTGTGCCATCGTAAGATTCAATATTCACAGGTTTAAACCCTTCGGGGATTTGATGATCCATTACTTCATCTGTGAAGCATAGTGGGTGTGCGGTGCCTCTGTACTGGGCGATATCACGACGGAGCTCAAAAGAGCTTTGTCTGTTTTGTTCGGCCCGGCCGGACTTACTGTGTCCGGCGCGACGGTTGTCGTCACGTATCATGGGGCGCCCACGCGATCCATAGATCGATCTTGATTGTCTTGCCCTATCCTCCAATATATCTCGCAAGTCCGGAGCGTTCCCCTGTGGCCTTGTGCTTTTCGAGCGATGCCGGGGTACGGGTCTAGTGAAGGGCCTAGAGGCCTCTCTGTCGCGACCACGGGGTGGTCGATCAGCCGTATTGTCTCCTGGTGATGTGGGTTCATACGCCTCCTCCTCTAATCGGGGGAGCAGCTTGCATTTAGGGTAGCTTTTGGAGGGGCGTTCGAGCTCATGCTCTTCGGCCGCGAGGACTTCAGTCCATCTGTCGGCTAGCAGATCTTGATCAGCTCTAAGCTGTTGCTGCTTTTTCTTGAGGCTGTTCGCCGTGGCCATAAGCCTGCGTTTAAAACGCTCTTGTTTGACGGGATCCTCAGGCACGACGAGTTCATCGTCGTCGAGGCTTGCCTCGTCTCTGGAGGGAGGCCTATAATCCTCTACCTCTTCTTCTGCCGCTCTCTCATGAGGGCTGGCGTCTCCGTCCTCCTGCGCTGGATCTTGCTGGAGTGGGTTGTCTTCGGCACTGTCCGGTGTATGATTATCTCCGGTGCCGGAATCTTCATTCTTGCTGTGGCAGGATTTAGAGCGGCGCCGCTGATGCCGGCGCTTGGGCTGTTTCTTGGAGGGGTCATCCTCCGCTGTTCCTTCGCCATTCCCATCCTTTGGGATATCCATCATGTATATGTCATATGATGAGGTGGCTTTATAGTGCCCGGTGGGCGCTGGTTCTTGGTCGTCTCCGGCATCGTCGTCCATACCGTCGATGTCTTCGGAGTCGTAGTCTAGCATGTCGGTTAGATCGTCGACAGTGGCTACCAAGTGGGTGGTGGGTGGGCTTTGAATTTCTTAGTCGTCCGCATCCCAACCGTCCTGACCGCAGTCCGGCCAGGGCTCTCCTGATAACGAGAGATACTTTAGCAAACTCAAGATGTCGCCGAAAGGTGAGTGTTGAAAGATGTCCGCTGCGGTGAACTCCATGATCGGCGCCCAATCAGATCCGATCGAAGGGGGCGCGGGAGGTTCGGAGTCCGGCACCTCGGAGTCACGAGCTTCATGAGGGACAAGGTCAGTGTTCGACTCTATCGCCGTAGAGGTTGCAGCCCCCGAGGCGGTGTCTAGCCATCCGTCCTCGACCTGCGCAGCCGGCTCCGAGTTGAAGATCGGAGCGGGTTCGAGTGCGGCCTCCAGGGTACTGTCCGGCTGCAGAGCTAAATCATGCTCGCCGTGACAGTGCGACACGCTCGGCTGTGGCTCGAATCCATCGAGGATCAAGTCCCCGCGGATGTCAGCCGTGAAGTTCAAACTTCCAAATCTGACTTGACGGCCAGGGGCGTAGCTTTCGATCTACTCCAGATGGCCAAGCGAATTGGCCCGCAGTGCAAAGCCGCCGAATACAAAGATCTGTCTGGGGAGGAAGGTCTCACCCTGGACTGCGTCGTTGATGATGATTGAAGAAGCCATCGAGCCTATCGGTGACGGCATAGAGGAACTCTCAATGAAAGCACCAATGTCGGTGTCAAAACCGGTGGATCTCGGGTAGGGGGTCCCGAACTATGCGTCTAGGCGGATGGTAACAGGAGACAAGGGACACGATGTTTTACCCAGGTTCGGGCCCTCTTGATGGAGGTAAAACCCTACGTCCTGCTTGATTAATATTGATGATGTGTGTTACAAGAGTGGATCTACCACGAGATCAAGGAGGCTAAACCCTAGAAGCTAGCCTATGGTATGATTGTTTTTCGTCCTATGGACTAAAGCCATCCGGTTTATATAGACACCGGAGAGGGCTAGGGTTACACAGAGTCGGTTACAAGGGTAGGAGATCTACATAACCGTATCGCCAAGCTTGCCTTCCACGCCAAGGAAAGTCCCATCCGGACATGGGACGAAGTCTTCAATCTTGTATCTTCATAGTCTTGGAGTCCGGCCGATGATGATAGTTTGGCTATCCGGACACCCCCTAGTCCAGGACTCCCTCAGTCGTGCTTCCCCTTGCGGTTCCACAGACCCATGGTTGCGGCCTGCCGACGAGCTCGAGGGCGGGGAGTGGCTAGGGTTTGGGCGTGTCGGCCTTCGAGGGGGCAGAGAGGGGCCGACGTGGGGATGAGGATGACAACCGGTCCACGGGTCCCATTTAAGAAAGACGCCGACCCGTCGCTGTGCGGATGACAGGTGGGGCCACCCGCACGTGCACATTTATGTTGGCGGGTGGGAGGTAGGTGGCCGCCTGCCACGCGGCCCCGACGCGGACGCTCGAAGCGTCCGTTCGCTGTCCGCCGCGACCCAAACCCGGCGCAAGTTTGCGCTCGAAATGGGTCGGCACGGACACAAAACGGACCAGATGGGTCCGGGCCGTTGCGCGTTGGGCCGTCTCATTTGTCCCTTTTACCCCAAACGGACGGGGCCGGACAAGATAGGGTCGTGCGGTGTAGTTGGCCTTAGGTGCCTTTTTTAGCGTGCACGGCGAAAAAACCATCCAGCTGCGCGCTCATATCCTCGTTTATCACATGTTTGTGTCAAAATTACAACCGGCGAACCCAAGCCGAACCCAGCACGCCGGGTGCTCCTGATAGCGCCGGCTAAAGCGAAAAGGCGCGTGGGCTCGCGCTGTCAGCGGCACCGGTCCATTTGCCATCGTTTTCTTCCATCTTCCATCCATTTCCCATGTATCGCCCCCTTCTCCCTCGTCCTTCCCGCCATTCTCTCCCCGGAACCGCCCGCCATGCCGGCGAAAAAGTACGTCGCCCCTCGCCTAGCCTCCGATTCCATCCAGCCAAAGTAGAGGAAGCCAAGGGCGCCGATGGCAAGGCCCCCCTGCTTGTCAAACGCCGAGTTGAAGGCCGACGTCGAGCACCGGGAGGCGGTCACCACCGACCGATGGAACAGACTCCTGATGAAGAAGGCCAGGGACGCGACGGCGGTGGCGGCGGAGCAATAGGGAAAGGCGTCTCACACGGGGATGGCGAACCTTCCATATCAACAGGCCGACCAGTGCCGCCAAGCCACATGGGGGTACTCGGCCTCGCCTGGCTACACCGACGGTGACGCGCATGGCGGCTTTGACCCCAACATCACCTTCCCGCATGGCTCGGCGTCGCGCACGTCCCCTCCGCCTTCAACCACGACCCGCAAACTCCCTCCCCCGCGTTCGCCGCCGGCCTGAGCACCCAGTATAGCTACTCGCGCCGACTTACTCAGGTTCGTCTGCGCTGTCTTTGCGTCGTGGCGCCCTACCCTTCGCACACGGCTCGGCGGCACCGTTCAACAACACCGACGCCGACATGGACGAGATCATCACGAGCGACTCAGTCACCGCCGGGGCAGGCACGTCCGGGTTGTAGGCGTCCTTCGCCTTGGCGGCGAGGCACCCGCTGCCGAACGGCTGCAATCGTCGATCGAGCAGTGTATCGCCGACGTCAAAAGCAACGCGGCCATGAGGGAGGAGAAATCCGATGCGAGGTAGTCGGTGTTGATGACGAAGCAGGACCCCAAACTCGACCTTCTCAGCACCAACGTCGCTGCGAAGAAGAGGAAAGGACCTGTCGTTCTCGACGAGGGCAGACACGTCGACGATGGACGAGCAGGTGAAGGCGTGGTATCTGGCGGAGCGCGGCCTCATTTCGAACAAGATGTCGGGACCGTCGGCGACCACCACTCCTACGCCAACGCCGACGCCGAGCCCGAACACTGAAGCAGTGCCCGCGCCGATGCCGACTCCGAGCCCGAGCACTGTAGCTACGCCCATGCCGCCCCGAGCACGAGCACTGAAGTTGTGCCGACGCCGACCCTGCCCTCGGCCAGCCCTGCCGCGTGAATGGAGCATCTACTACCAGTCTTGCTTGCACACATGAAGCAACGTCGCCGAGGAAACTGCTAGCCGTGCATCCTATACGCGTCCACTATACGCCGGAGTGGCGTCTGTGGATAGAGCGCCGCAGGCGTCCACGATTGGCGTCCACTGGAGGCAAGCAAACGCGACGCAAGCGGGCACGCACGCGGCCATGTCGGGCGGGGCGCGCCGGCAGGGCCTGCGCGGCACCACGCTGCGCTGCCTGCCTGACTCCAACTGTAAACACTGCATTATTTTATCTCGTTTTTACCTCTGCGGCTCGCGGTTGAAAACACAGAGCATGCCCGTCACGCACCAATCGGCGTGCCGGGGCGGTGTCACGGCACGCACGCGCACGCGGCCCGCACATGCGCGCGCGCGGGGCTGCCACATGATTTTCGTCCGTTCCCAGTCAAAGGCGCAGGCGCGGGCCGCTTTAAGACGCGCCCACCAAAACCGGCGAGCGAGGCAGGCACCCGGAGCGCCGCCGCAGTCCCACTCGCCCACCCAACCACCAACAGACGCGCCTCCTCAGACCCGGCCGGAGAGGCGAAGCGAGACGGACGGAGATGGTTGCCATGGGCGCGGACGAGGAGGAGCGGCCCGTGCACCAGGGCTGCATGGCCGGCTTCCTCCACCTCTTCGACCGCCCGCACGTCTTCTCCGGCAAGCGCCGCCTCTGCCACCACCCCCGCCGCCTCCTCTCCTCCTCCTCAAGTGTACGTAGCGCACGCGCGCTCGCCACTCCCCGTTTCTTTTCCTGTCCCTCGCTCTTCGATTAATGGTGACGCTTCTTGGTGTGTTAATCAGGGGTCCGCGACGCCGTCGGAGATGTCGATGCCGCTGGAGAGGGCGACGCCGCTCCCGTCGTCGCCCGAGATGACGCCGCCCGCGGCGCCGAGGCCGTCGCTCCAGCTCCCGCCGCTGGACCTCAAGGACAGGGGTGGCGCCGCCGCGTCCTGGAGGTTGCCGCGCCTCTCGCTGGACAGCCGCGCGGTGGTCGACGCCAGGGGGAAGCTCCGGCAGCGGGACAACAACAGAACGGCAGCGCCACCGTCCCCTGGCGTGGCGGGCTCGCCCAGCGTCGTCGCGCGGCTCATGGGGCTCGACGCGCTGCCGCACGGCGCCGCGGACGAGGAGGACGGCCAGCACGCCGCTCGGGGTGGCGAGCTCAGGCGGTCGGCGTCCGAGCGTGTGCCGCGCGACCCGGCCCGCTTCCGGTTCGTCGACCCGTCTTTCTTCGAGAAACCGGCGCTGCTTCCGCAAAGGCCGTCGTCCCCGACGGCAGAGGCGGCGCTGGCACAGCGGCAGTCGCCGGATCCGGCCTTCCACAGAGCGGCAGCGCTGCAGAGGCGTAGCAGCCACTTCGACGCGCGGGAGGTGTTCCCTGAGCCGGCAAAGCGCGTCGACCCGAGCGCCGGGCGCGGCGAGATCGCGCTCTGCGGCGAGATCGATCGCCGCCTCCGCAAGCGTGGCATCGCCGAGCCGGCCAGGGATCTCGAGACGCTCAAGCAAATCCTGGAGGCCCTCCAGCTGAAAGGCCTCCTCCGCCACAGCACTCCACCGCCGCCATTGTCCGTGCGCAACCATCCGCCTCCCATCGTCGTCATGCGCCCGTCCTCCCGGCCGCCGCAGCCTCCAACCTCTCCCACCAGGCGATTGCGCGTGCAAGTCGACAATGCCCGCCGCCCGCGTTCTCCTGACCGAGCGGCGTCCCCCGCACGGAGCCCGGCCTCCCCGGCGCGACGCGGCCCACAGTCCCCTCAGCGCCGCGTGTCTCCGGAGAAGCGCCACCAGCCCCTCAAAAAGCCGAACAACGCTGATCTCCCAAGCATCCGCCCCCGCATTGCCCGCCACGCTGTTCACAATCTATCTCCCGACGACGACGCGTCGACCATCTTCTCGGACGGCGGCAGCAGTAGCTCCGTCAGTGCCAGTGCCAGTGCCTCCTCCCGTTGGGACCTCGAGGTAAGCCTCAGCAGACAAGGTGGTAAAATCTCTGCTCAGCGGACATCGATCGTGCAACGTTTTCTCACCAGTCTCTCCATTTTTGCATTGCAGCAGCGGCAGCGGGTACGTCTGGTGGACGACGCGAGAACGGACCGCGGCCTGCTGGAGCGCTGTGACAAGCTGCTGAGCAGCATCGAGGCGTTCACCGGCGCCGGCGACGCGGCGGCCGACCAGCAGCCGAGCCCGGTGTCGGTGCTCGACGCGGCGACGTTCCTCGCCGACGAGGACTCGCCGTCGTCGTCGGGGTCGAAGCGGGGGATGGGCCGGAGAGCCCCGGGCCCCCGGCCGGTCGCCTCTCTGTCCTTTCCCGAGGACGACGACGAGGCGGTCCCGGAAGCGTGGCTGGTTGGACCGGAGGCCAGTGACCCCGACTTCGCCTACGTGGCAGAAGTGGTCTGTTTGTCGGACCGGATGAGGAGCCCGGATGACGTGTACCGCACACTGGAGAAGAGGCGCCGTCGTGGCGAGGACACGTGGCAGCACCGGAGGCTGCTCTGCGGCGCGGCGGCGGAGGCTCTGGACCGGTGGCGGTGCGCGCACCCGTCGGAGCCCGTCGCGTGGCTCCGCGGCGAGGAGCTCCTGCGCTACGTCTGGGCGGAGGTCCAGCGCGCCCTGGAGCCGGCCGGGCCGGCGGCCGGTGACGATCTGAACGACCAGACTAGCGGAGCCATCCTGCGCGACCTGGCGGCGGACCGGCGGTGGTTGCCGAGCGCCGAGGCGGCGGACACCGTGCTGCAGATCGAGCGGCTGCTGTTCAAGGACCTGGTGGCCGACGCCATCTGCGAGCTGGCCGAGGCCGACCGCCTCCGCCTCCCGCGCCGGAAGCTGGTCTTCTGATCAATCTTCCCCACTCCCATGTCTAATCCAAATCTAAACCACGATCAGAGCAGAGCATTAGAATATTATTAACAGGAAAATAATGTGATCTTTTAGTCTTCTTCCTCTTGTACTCCTCCTTTTTGTATACAATTATTACTGTTACTGTTCTTAAGAGTCCCAATGAATGAATGAATGAATGAGTGAATGAATGAAAATTTAAGTGTGTTTCCCGCGCATTGCATTATTGCTAGATCTTCTTTCTTCCCATGCATGTGCCGCATGCCATGCTGCCCACTGAGGGAGTGCATGTGGTGTACCAACGCGGGCCTTTAAAGGGAATCCGGATTTTCTCTTTGACTCGTCTCGCACATGTATGCTTCATTTTGCCACTGTTTGCAAGCTGGACCTGCCGGCGCGCTAGGATGGGCAACTCTGGTCTAGAGTCCCTGTATCAACAGTAGTTAATAATGCCTACCAAGTGCGTTTCATGTTCATTATTTTGAGGCCGTCAAGGCAAAGTGCATATTAAACGCTATCCTACTGTGTATGGTTGTCACTGTTGACATATAAATGTATTGCCTAGTTCTTTTATCGGAACAGTTTTTTTGTTTGCATTGGATAGAGCATGCACTTCTACAGTCACAACCACTTGTTCACTCTTTAGGCCTCTGCATGCTCTCCTCTCTCACACACACACTCACATAATTCTTGTGTACTAGATGACCCTTTGCGCCGAATGGCTTGGCGCAAAAGCCCAATCCAAACTCACAACTAAAAAGCAAATATTCGCTTAACTTATAATGAGGCAATGGAAAGGATCGTCACTAGTTCCAAATAGTTGGGTAGGCAATTACAAGATCAGGAACATCAGTTAAGCCTGTCAAAACAGTCCATGGCAGCAAGAGAATCAAGATTGTGAAACTTTTTTTCCTTAATAGCCGCCAAGCACCCAATGTATATATTGCCATGTAATGGAACATATTCTTTGCACAAAATTCTCATGGTAAACAATGGATGATATCACAGTAGCTCCTTTTTTTATCATGCAATTGTCCACTCCTATTTCAGCAATGCGTCAAAGCAATGCAGATGGCTAAAGAAACCAAGAACACGTACCACCATTCACAAGCCACCACTGTTAGGAACTCTGAATTTCCCATCATAACTGAAGTAAATGTAATGTGTCAAACTGTCCACAGAAACTCGAACTAAAGACTGCACGCAAGATGAGAAGCATAACTTTAAAAATTCTTCAACCACAGTGTCGAAGGCAGCCCACCAGACAACGAAGGCACCCACCAGACAAGCGACAGCCGGAGCACCTCTCAAAGCAAGTCCCACGACATGGAGAAACCCCAGCCCCACCGATAACATAGACTCAGTCGAGAGCACCATTACATAGAACAATAAGGCGCAAGAAAAATATCTTGTTTAATGTATGCTTGTGAACGATATTGTTATTTTCTAATGAACGATATTGCCATTTTCTAATGAACGATCTTGCCATTTTCTATTGACCACATCGACCGCAACTTACCAGTGGCACGATACAAGTGATGTGGCGCCGACATGCCACCAGTAGGTTTTGCACACGCCACTAGTAAGTATCATGTGCTAGTGAGAGTTCTCATGTCAAATATTATGTCACTGTGTTATACACATCACATACAGAAAAATCTAGTGATGCACACATAATTCACGTCCAATCTTCTCTTTGTAGCCACAAAACTCTGGTATAGGGGGCAAATGATGGCACGGTACGAGTGAAACAAAAAATGTGGGGCAAAGACTTCCCCGCCAGCCCTAGAGTCGTCTTATCTTTGAGATAAATCAAAATATTGGCACAATCACCACGGGAATCAGGCAGTTTGCCGTCAGGCGAATACAGACGGCAAAGACAACCAGCTGACGACAAACGTTGTCGGCAAAGCCTAATCGGCAAAGAGATACTTTGCCGTCAGCTTTTCATTGTGATAACGGCAAAGACTTTGCTCATATTTGCTGTTCCAAAGTTTCAGTCTTTCTAATTTGTTTTCTATTTTTTTAATTTACTGTTCATAGAGGGTGTAGGGGCACCCGGGAGCTGAAAAACCACTCTCCATGACCAATACGGGCAGTCTGTACTTATACCACTTTGTATTCTATCTGTTTGCACAAATACGGATGGAAAAAAGGAGGTGACTAAAAAAAACTTGCAAGTAGTACCAGAACGCTGAAGCATGTCTGCAAAATTACGCTGGTAAACTTAAGATGTGCAGACAAGAGAGCAGACGAGAGTGAGCATGAAAACAAGATAACATTCAGATGAATTATCGAAAGGCTGCATTTCATTGTTGATGAAAAGAACTCTTAAGTACTAATCAGATGCATTACATTCAGGATGAAGGCATATATGGAGCTGGATGCTACAGGTCTCGTGTGTTGGTCTAATCACAGGAAACTGTCTGCCCATCCAAGCATGTGTAGAGAATGCTATTTTTATGAAGTCAATAGGTTGATGGCACTGTGTGTTGCTTATTGGCAGTTGACCTGTCCGCAATGTTCGTACATCATCATGGACAAGGGAGAATGAAATCATGTTTGATTTTTCCACCTCGTGACTGTCATGCACTTCTACTTGTCCTGGTACCCCTCATGCCAAAGTAAGATCAGCTCAATGAGCTAGCAAAAGACAAACAGATTCTCGATCCTCGTCTATCATGGAATGCATATGGACTATCTTGTTCACAAATATGAGTTGTTTGTGTTTGAACTCAAACTTGAAACGATAGTAGTTGGCCACTTCCGACGCTGCAAGGAAGAATGACTTGCTTAAATAAAGAAGGTCAGATGAAATTGTGTAAATGAATAGGTGGTAGACCAGTAGGTGAAGAAATGAAGAGAGTTTTTTTTTCTCTTCAAAAACCCCAAACTAAATGAAATGAAGTACATGGAACTACTTTGAATAGAAGAGAGCCAGGGCCGCATTAGCGCCAGCTTGCGTGTAGAGAGATTGCATATACTTCTATAAGAACTGGGCTATTCTTGCGAAATTATTGCATTACAAACATGCATGCTAATTTGGGCAGATTTGCCAAGTCTCTGGAGCAGTCTCTTTACCCCATATTAAACATTGGCCCATTTTTTTGTTTATTTAATTGTACTAACAAGTATTCAATTGTTTTTTTTACCCGCAAAAAAAAACAATTGATGAATTTTTATTTTGTTGCAGTACATGCCCACTATCGAATATTGCTGAATAGACCATTTTATTAGCATCCAATTGGTCCCATCAAAGGATTTTTCTTTGGTATATACATCACATTGCAAAAAGGTAGAGTATATTGATCAGAAGGCTTATGTGTATCTTCATTTTAGATCTAGAAGTGCTTGCCTTGGTATCCATCACAAAGTCTGGAAGTGTCTTCGCAGCTTCTGCCTGGTAATGAAAGCAATGGCAATGTTGACGCACTATATGGCTGACTGGTACGAGCACGAACAACCATTGCTACCTGATCACAAAAGCAATGGTAATGACGATGCTATGGTTGACACCCTGCTCATGAAAATCAGTTAGATGACAACATCGATATAAAAAACTACCAGAAATGAGTAGGTAGTCTGGGCACATATGATCAGAGTGAAGTATATACATTTCAAGAACTAAGCTCTTAATGAAAGCAAGACCCAGATGACGGTCCTTGTTATGTAAAATCATTCAGAAGTTTAGTATTACTTCAAGTTGGGAACGAAACATCAAATGCATAATGGCAACTATTAAATATAGTTGATGGATTGTTGGATAGGGCATGGGCCTCTCAAAGAGCAATATTACGTTTGCTTCAACTCTGTGTCTTTTAGTGGATCGACCCAGCTGGGAGAATGGTTTGTCTTTGGCGCACTTCCGGCCAAGAGAAGGCTGCCTAGTGGGCAAAATTCAGAAGGGAACTGGAAGTGGTCTAGCTCTCGGAGACCAAATGTCTGCATCATATACGGTGACAATCCTGCATGCCTGCATCATATAGTTGAGGCTTCGCTGAAGACTCCTCTAGAAGGGCCGACTGACTTAATGGTTGTTCCCGTTTTGGCTTTCTTTTCTTCAATTTTTTGTTTTTCTTGTTTTTGTTTGCAATTTTTTTTTCCAATACACAGAGAACTTTGTCCAATATGTGGTGAACATTTTTTCAAATACACAGCAAGTTTTCTTAGTATACGGTGAACATTTTTCAGATACATACTGAACATTTTCTTAATACAGAATGAACTTACTTAGAAAGGCTATCACCATATTAACTTACAAATCACACGTACTTCACAGAATGATTTGGATATAAGATTATATTACCCTTTTTGATTAAGGGGTAACTTCTAATCTTCACATTTTAATCTGCATTAAAATCCCGTAAACTTTTCTAGGGGGGGCGTACCAAATCAAAGTTCTGTTGTTCTATACATTGGTCATTTTTTAATATGCTTCAAATATATTTTATTATATGGTGAGTTTTTTTAATATATGCTCAGTTTGTTCTAATATACATTATTTTATTATAGAACACATAATGAACACTTTTCTATATTTTTCAATTTTTAATAGGTTCTAAAACATCTATCTCATAAAAAACAACAACTGTTTTTTGGGTGAAAACCCGACTAAATACTGAAGAGAAAATACAAATAAAAAACACCTCATGATAGTGGGCCAGCCTTGGCTTCAGTGAAGCCACCCTTAGTAGACCCACGCGGCGTCAACTAGGAGGTCTTGTTGAACCCTTGGCACCTTCTCCATTATCTCTATCTAATTTAAGCTTTAGCAAGAACCCATACTTGCTAAGTGGAATGACCTAGTCGCATGTTCGCTTGGTGTCCTCTATGCGAAAACTCATTTTGTCTAGAATTCCCTATTTTCCGCATAATGCGGCAAACTGCCGGTGCTTCGGGCAATGCAAGCAGTCGAGCGAGCCGGGATGAGCCGGCCCATTTGTGCAGACATCGTTGATTAAAAAACTATTACAATATCTTGTTTTCGAAACCTTTTAGGT